AAGTTAACAATAAACGACTCTGTAACAATAACATTCAACTCGACAACATTTTCAACAGCCTTAGAAGACATCAAAAAAGCAGAAGACCGATGAAAACTCAATGTTTTTCGTCATCTTCCTGTATTTTAACCGCACTCGTACAGCTTTCTCCCTCTTCGCCAGAAGGCACCAATCCATAGACTGATAAGGCAACGACGTATATGGGATCCGTCTTGGCCAAATGATTTACGTATTTGAGGAAGGGGAACACATCCTTGTCACGGCGTACTATAGCCATCGCGCCAACATTCGGAGGACATCGAAGTACCTAAATGCAATACTATCTAAAAGTCTTTAAGATGAGGACAATTCGGTCAGCAAGCAACTACTGGAAATTAACTTTTATTTATTGAGATCACTGATACTACCTTGGACATCTCCTACTGTTGTTCTCGATTCAAAATTTTGTGCGTTCGCCAATGATCAACGCTGATCAAACTCACCGGCTCTTCTACATCCTTCTTGATATAAACAACTTCTCCTCCTGCATCTTCACTCCAATTCGATTTCCCAAAGTAGAACTACAATGTAGAAATCTTTATTATACGTTCATAAAATATACCATTTGGCTTACCCAAAAATCAGCTGATAATCCGTTTTTCATGTACTGTTCAGCATCTTCGTCTCCTAGGACGGTAAAGCACCGATGAGTCAGACGATATATTCTCAGTATGATGTGAGGTTCTAAAAGTTTTTCTTCAAAAAAGAAAAACATCATAACAAGATTCCAACGTTCAAATTCTGATCCTGTCACTTTTCTGACGAAATCCATCATAGACTGCGAACGCAACGCTTGCACAAATTTTTCTATACACCCATTAGAAGATCCCTCAACTTCGTATTCTGCCATCCACCTATACTCGAAATTGGTCCGTGACAACACTGTTCCAAAAAAAAAAGAGAAAATGATTAAACCTTTTGTTCACAGGTCCTTTTTCAACCCACTTTCCAGATTCCATCGCCAGCATCATTTCAACATTGAAGTCCTTCTGAAAGAACAAATAAAGCGTTGACCCTACTTAGTTACCAATATTTCACAAAAGTGAAGAAAACAGAAGTTTCTCAGACGACACCTTTTTGGTCAGCAGCTCGACGCAGTTTGTTTTATATCTCTTTCAAAAAATAATAAACCACAGGAACAAAACAACGCCCTTCAAATCGTATTCATGTCACTAAATACAAATGAATGCCGTACATGTCAACCCCATAGGCTAGTAATCAGATTATCTGCCAAAAAATTTTGAAAAAAAATAAGTAATCAGATAATTTGCTAAAAAATTTGAAAAAAAAATAAACAGTCATGCTGAGATACATGAAAAAGGGCTTATAGATGACTTCATCGCCTATGTCTGTCAGCACAACTCCAAAACTTTAATCTCAAGTACGTACGGCAGGTTGCGAAAAGCTTGCTCTTCAGTGCAAAACTTACAACAAGGGTTTCTCGCTCAAGATGGCATGACGCACTTCTTTTGGCTTGCTCAGCAGTGGAAGTTATAAGGCTTATCTATGAACTTTATGAGCTCGTTCTCAATAGCGCTACTATGAACAAAATCTAGAAGTCAAACTGTGACAAGTGGAACTGGCTCTAATCCAATGTGTTGATGTGGCTGGACGTCAAAAGATTATGGCGACAACTCAAAAAAACAAATGCACTAACATACTTGGTAAGCATCTTTGATCAGTAGTTCGCTGGATGATTTGAAAATTTCTGCCATATTCCTCTCTAGTTTCTCATTCAGAACTTGAGTACTGAAGAACTTAGAAAGATCTGCTTGCTGAAAAATTAATTGAAACTGCAGGAAGCATGATTCATTCACAAGAAACAAAACAAAACTCGAATTTGGAAGGAGAAAATTCTGCTCACACCCTGAGGAGTGATCTGTGGACGGATGATCGGTGGCCGTATAATCGGATCAAGAGGACGATTAGTATGGAACCAACCATTGATAGAGAGGCGAGGGCAATTCTCCTCACCTATAATCTCCTCAACCGAGTGCCATGATCTATAAATATAGGAAATTTCGAGGAAAAGAGATGTGACTAATATGAAAACCTAATATCAACTCACTTTTCAGAAACTTCGAAAAGAAGTAAAGCGTTGCGATGAGGGATGAGTGAAGCGAATACCGTTGTAGGCTCGTCTTTCTCTGAGAAAAGTTCTCTTTGCAGATTATAACGAAAGTTGAGTGGAATATACCATTTGAGTTGTAAATATTTGTCTGTCCTCCAAATGACTCCTCCCATGGCTCTTCCGTGAAGTAGTAAACAAAGGCAAAACGACGATTTTCCACCTGTGAAAAACTTTTGTGACCTTATCCAAATCTGAAGAGCTAAAATAAAGCTTGAAAGAAAATCAATTCTAGAAAAGAACCTGATCAGAATGTGCTAACAAGCAATCAGTGCTGGCGTAGCAACTACCAGTAGAATCTACTTGTGGAAGAAGTTCAATACCACTGGTGCGGGCCAACCACTCGCGCACTTCTTTGTAGAGAAAATCCCTGAAAATATCGGACTAATCAAAAACAGACTGAATAATGGATACAATGTCTATCAACAATCTTTTTATTCTCGCAGTAGTCGCTTTGCACAATGCTTAGAACTCTCAGGGCTGTCAAAAGATCTTTGAATCATTTTTCACATCATCTTTTATTCTGACTACTGACTGCAACAGAACTGCTAGAGAATACTTTAAACAATGTGACTGGCAATTTCACCCTAGCGCATCGAGTTAGTAAGCAATGCTTTCCAAGCATAATGCTTATTAAGCATTTTTAAATCTATCCGAGTTCACAATGAGGATTCCTAGGAAAATTTTAAACTTATTACTTGTAGACAAACTGAATATTGTTGGGATTCCACAGCAAAATTAGCACGGAGAATGAAAGTTACAAAGTTTTGAATCGTGGTATTCCAGATATACTTGATGATTAATGTTAATGCAACAAGGTTCCTCGAGAATTCAACAAGATGCCTTGCTCAGCTATTCTTGAGAATTCTGTCTTCCTGAAAATATGCTAGTCTTGCGTCAGAATGTTAGATAGCAAGAATATAGGCAAAGTCCCCGTACCATTTTGAGGAGTGATTTATCTCAAAACTGAAATAATGTTGTACACACGGATACGCGACGATATTGTCAAGTCGTTGCTGTTGCTTGTTGATCGATGTGATACCTTATAGCTAGCTACATCTCGCACTGCACCCTAGAGGATAATGCATCTCATCAGCGCACTGGAGCTGCCGTATATGCCAAATTACCAGATAAGAGAGGGTCAGCCAATGAAGCAATAAGCAAACCCCCATAAATCCATCTCTACTATTTGCGAAAGCAAGCTTCAATGTCCCAAGCTTTCCAATTCAAACTGAATAACGAAGGAAAACTCTGTATGAACATACCTGAAGCTAGTTATTGCAGGGTATTTCAGCGCTTTGAGACTTTTAAGATCAGGTGTTTGATGAAGCGAGTACAAGTCATTCTCTTTACGATGCCAAGCTGGATATTTGATAAGCTCCTGCTCAACACACTCGATTATCGAGGGGTCAACATCCAAGAAGTTACTCAGTTGCCAGTGAGGAAATGGCTGCTTTTCTAAAAAAAAGGAAAACATGTTGGTTGAATTCATATGAATTAGGATTTCTTATGTACACGGTCTATGTGCACACAACGTAAACGGTTTCCCTAAAGCCTTCAGGTGGACCTAGCGTCGCACCGGAAAAAAGGTGCAGCATCGCCGATGGCTTGAGCCATCGGCGATGCTGCACCTTTTTTCGAATTCACGAATTTACTAATTTTCAATGCGAAGGTGCTACGAATTTATGAATTCGTAGCACCTTCGCATTGGTACGACGCTGCCTCCACTAGAAGGCTTCAGACGAACCAGTCCTAGCTGCTTGCTGATGTTAGGCTCAGGCAACCATGCACAACGAGGAGATGTTGATCTTCATTTGTAAAGCGAAATAAACTGGTAAGTTGAGTTGTGTAGCTCTTCACTTCAAATACTGAAGCTTTCCAATTTTTCCTGTCCTTTAAATGTTAAAATTCGTAAAATTTAGTAGCATTTAGTGCTCTTTCTAAAGTTCGTAAAGCAAAAGTTGCAGACGTTGATGATATTTTAGTGCGCATCTCGTGTAACTACATATCTTAAAATACGCTTATGTCTTTGAACAAAGTGGGGAACTCTTTTGATGGAGGTTCCGCGGAGGCATGTGCATCATGCGACGTGCTTACTCACTGCCCGTGAACTACACTTTGTTAGAATTCCAGATTGCTAAGTTGATCCAAAGAGTGAGTAGTACGTTGTTTTACAGACCACATCCTAGCATTTCACCTTATTGCAGCTCGGCGATCGCATCGCTTTTACAAGACGACGCTGAGTAAAATCTGAACCCTTATGTGCAATGTTTACTGTTATGCATTCACTAATCGATAACACGTATTTGTTACAGCAAAGTAAGAAATGCCCCTTGCACACGCGTCAATGTTCAATTAAGCTTCTAAACTTTTGCGACTTATTTCACTGATACAATTATAAACGCACATTCGAACCAAATTTTTACGCATAGGGGGAAGTTATATCGAATCCCAAAAAGAGTTAAAAGAAAGTTATGGCAAATTTTCGCCAAACATCTGACCTTTGAGATCCTTGCGGAAGCTTTCACCGAATTTGTCGTCCTTGTAAATAGGATTGATGTTAAATGTAAGTGGCTCACGACGAGGACGCTTAGAGGTACCTGCGAGACGAGAAGCAGCGCATTTCTTCACTCGAGCCCTCACCATGCTGTAAAAGTTCCAAAATAAGATGACCTGGCAGGCATAAGGTTTACTGAGGCTAGAATTTAGTAAACTGAATAAGAAAGCAAGAAAAATCGAATATTTCGAAAAGCAAGATTAGTAGAAGCACAGATGATGCAGAATTGAAAAGCTGGTATTTTCTACATAAAATGGCCTAGCCATACATTGAACCGCCACCCAAATACCTTGCCTAAAATTCATGTCAAGAAAAATTGGCTATAAGACTAAGAAATAAATGGTCAATTGACTTATACCAAATAAGATTTAAAATGTTTGATACGATAAGCTGTGGTACGAGTACCGTACAGCTGCGCACAATGTCATCATCCAGTTGCCTACAGAATTTCTAAATAATCCCAAGAGAAACTGGAAAAAATCATGTGAACGACCAAAGGAACCAAAAATGTATTAAGGTTTTTTTT